TGAATATCTTTGTGTTAATGTAAAATGTGTAGCACAACTACAAAACTCCTATTATCTGTGAATATCTGTGTTAGTGTAAAATGTGTAGCGCAACTACAAACTACAGAACTATTATCTGCAACTCTATTGCTCGCAACTCTTTATTATCCGCGAAAGCTGTAGGGGCGGTTTAAAGGCCAGCCAATTATCTGCGCTCCTCTTCTTCCCGATTATACTGCATCAGATTATTCGCATTTTCTCCTCTCCCGCATTTAAGGAGCAACATCATCCTGTTATCCGCAACATTTCCTCGGATAGATTAAGTTCAATCGATACATTCAAAACAATATTTTTGTTGATAAGTGGGGGTACGTTTAATTACATCGCAGATATTATCCGCGATGTTTGTACCCCTCCCCCCTCTAGTGAAAGTGGCACGGCCCATTCAGGAGTGACGGATTCAGCAACCAAACATTCCCCACTCCCCATACCCACGAAGTGGTACATCCCACACATAATAGTCAACACGTGGGTGCCCTTATAGGGCCGGCTGTCTGTGGGCGTGTGTAAGCGATTAAGGGCGGCTAGGTTTATCGGGGGAGTGTGTTTTAACTTATGGAACAGCCACCCAGATTTGCTCTTGCATAATTGGACAATTACCTTTGCCACGTGCACCTTCCCTCCAGCTGGCTCCACTCACGGGGCTGTGCCGAGGCTCACCCGACCGAGACGCGTAACGCTCGCACGTTGTCTGCGATCCTTCTCGCCGCGGCGAACGTTCAAACAGAACTGTGTAGTCACCACCAGGTCGAACGGCCTCGAGAGGGGGGGGGGGGGGGAGGAGTAGGAGCGAGCGCTGAGAACAAAAGCGTCGACCAAACCCTGGGTTCCAATCGCGGGGTTCGCCTTCCCCCGACGACGATACAAGCCAGGTCTCGTCAGTGTTACTTGGCGTGCCGACGAACATTTCTCCCTAGCAGAGCGTGTTGGAAAGCACGCTCCCACCCTGACGTGCACAACAAAGGCTACTTCTCGGGTTTCTCGGCAGTCATTCGACGAAACATCCTTCCACGGCCCATTCTGCGACACCGTGATTTTCTCACGACGCTACGTCGGTGTTGGCACAATCGATTTTAGTTTTTTTTACAAACCTTATTCCCCCCTCCCCCACCCCACTACCGACTTCCTCCACGAAAACATTCGATCCGCGACTCCTTGTTTGTGTTGGTCACTTCGTTGGAAACGCGCGTCCCCACCTCCACCCGTGTAATGGAGCCAGCGCGAGATGCGTGATTGCGTCGGGGTCCAACGCGGTTTTGTTCTCGTGCGCCGCAGAGCTTCCCACTCAAACCATCTGTGCGGTGGCATTTGATTTCTTTGGCAGGGTTTGTGCCACAGTGGGGGGAACGTTACAAGAATGTGTTGCTCAGCCGGCTCCCACTTGGTGGTCCCCCTCCTCAAGTGTTGATATCATGCCAGCCCTAATAAACGTTTGATATACAAACTTCGGCGTTCTAAAGTAGGACAACATCACCCGTGATTACATTACCACATTCATGACTTTGGGTGGAACTGTGGCGGAGTGGTTCGCACACTGCGCGATGAAACCTTCGTATGAATCATCACCACGCGCTTGTGTGTGCTGAATGACACTGAAGACACCGATGAACAACATCCACTTTCGGTAATTTGGAAACTTACTTTGTAATTATTTTATTTCTTAAAGGTTTTGATTCCTACCACCCCCCCCCCCCCCATAGTTTTATCCTGATTGTGCTATCGGCGTAGCGTCACAAGACTCAATATCAGTTTGGATCTTGTGCAGAATTATGCAACACTTCTTGTTAGAGAACAGCCAATTGAAGAAGACATCACAGAGCTAACTCTGACATCCCTTTAAGCCACTTAATCCACACAATAAGGGGGAGAACTTGTTTCTCCTCACCCTGCACACGGAAATAATTTGTGGCATGACAACCCTATATTTTTTTCTCAAGAGCTGGAATGTAGCTAAACGTGCAAAACCACATCTAATGGCGAGATCACGCATTAATACGTGAACCGGGGCTAAGACCATCGACACTTGAGAGCCCAGCTTTATCACAGACAGCTGCATGGATTCGAACCCAGGTTCTCAGGGGTGCTGGCTCAGTGCTCTGACCCTCCTTCACGACACCCTGCCCCACCTGCTACTCTTTGGAAAACTTGATGTCCCATGCTGGTAGTCTCTCGAGCCAAGTCTGGCTTTTAAGATTTCAGTTTACTGCTGCTGTTGTTGTTTTAGCGTTCCAGTGGCAGGTGCGGCTTTATAAGAATGGCTTAAGGAATGATATATGGGTTTTTTTCTTTCCCCATTTCGCTTGCATCATTATCTCGCTCCAACTCAGTTGCGCTCTGCGAAAGAACAGGAGGCAATCGCCATCGCATGTGGGTGAACATGGACGTCACACTTGCCAACGCCACTGATCTTGAGATAGGCTTGCCAATGTGGAACCTTTCTAACCGCGCACCAATGTTCGAAGCAAAAAGAGCGTTGTAAATAGTTTTGAATATCGACAAGACTTCCGCATAAAGGGGCTTGTGTTCACAAGCACGATATATGCGTAATGCATAAGTTCGTGTGTGGCTTATGATTGATATTCGAGGGCAGTACTGCAGGTCTCAGGTTGCATATTCATGAGGCTAAGTCGGTGTACATCACTGGTATTATAATGAACGCATGAATGCATACACACGTGTGTTAATGTGTAAGGCTATATGGGGATATATTTTTTTCCTTTCTAAGCGTGAAATGAAATACATGCGCCGGTACATTCATGACGTACGAGCGAGTTTGTTAATTGTATGTGGAGCAGTGCTACAACACATGACGACTTGAGTTTGAGTCCCTGTCACTGTGAACATCAGTGGCGAGTATTAACGAAACTGGGCATGGGCCTCACCTAGATCGACTCAGTCTTAAATGAGTATACATCGTGCAGCGTGAAAACATGAGCACGAGAGAGACAAAGCAATTCAATGGGCACATCACTTCCAACAAAATATGGAATGGTTGCTCTTCAGACACCAAATATGAGATAATCTACTGCTGGATTGCCTCGTCCAAGCCACCTCCATCTCGTATGATCCTGCGATGCAACAATCCATCAAACACCTGCACGTGAGCTAATGTTTATAGCGAGTCTTACGTACGACTGGAAAGTATGGGTGCGGTTGGATTGTAGGTTGTTGATAAAGCGCTGAGCTTATGAGCTCTCTCCTCTTAAGCAACCGTGGTCAATGTTGCTCGATAGAGCGGAAGAGATGACATAATTCTGAGTGAAGTGCAACGAGTGCACATAATTCTAAAGGCATGAGGTGCCCAGGTAACTCGGGGGATCAGCATTGCGTCAGGGCACCAAGCCGTTGTCTGCGGATTGGGATCCTAGGATGGAATGCGCATTATAAATTCGTATTATTACTCTTTTCTACGATTATTTGCTCTCCCGGGTAACAAATACGACTTCCCCATAGCAAACAAATGTTCCTGACTATTCATGGTGATTGGTTCCCCTTACATATTTTTGTACCCCCCTATTTTGGTGTAACAAAGTGGTTTATGGTTGTTGCACGTAAGTCTATAACCATGTAATTTCCAAACATATTTGAGGAAAAACCTGCTCGGTTTTCTTTCAGGGTAGTTTTAAGTTTATCATACAATGTTGGAGCCAAACGTCGTCCTCAATAATCTCGCCCTGGACCTCTAACCCTCATCTCGGGGTATAAATAAGTCGGGATGGCAAAATGTTTGCCGAATATTGGAATCTGTATTTCAGTCACCGGTTATCACCCCAGGTTCTCAAATTGTAGCCAGCTGACGGTCCTGTCATGATCGCCAATGACTACAAAATAATTAAAACCTCCACACAAATTTTGGTTTATCACGTAGCTTGGCTAATTTTCAGCTGTGAAATAAAAAACCCCATTTAGTTTGCCTGCCACGCAATAACAAATCTCTGTAGCGGGGCATGTGGAGGGGGGTATATCCCCCCTAGTGTGAATAACTCTTTTTAAAAATCTAATATTGATTTCAAAAAATCGTTTCCCACTTTTGGAATATTCCAGCATCTCTCTAATTACTACTCTGTATCAGAGCATGAGGGAGATGCACCACCTAGTGTAGACGAAAGGCAATGTCACCCTTCAGAGCTTATTTGGTGTAAAACTTGTAAATAGTAATTCTGGTTGGCCCTCAGATCAGTTTTAAAAGTTTTACCGTGTGTTGTTCGGTTAGAAGACTCCACATGCTGGGAGTTTCTTGAGGAATTGAGCATTAGAAAGTAAATTTTTTCAGATCCTTTTTTTTTTCAGATCCTGAGGAAGCTCCAGCACGTGCAGCAAAAACATCGGACATCGCACCGAACAACACACAACTGAACCCCTATAACATATAATAGAAATACAGGACAAGCGCGAATATCTACACAGTGGAAATTCATGTCTCATAACTTCAGATTTCAATTGAGATACAATTTGAAAAAATATTATTCTAAAGGTATACAGGGAGCAAAAAATGAGCAGATTGTCTCACTTTATTGTAATAAGTTGTAAGTGTGGCGTATCTAGGAGGCATGTAACAATTCACCAACCCAACGATTTTATTTTTCACGATTCAGGATATCAATTCGTATTTTCTTAACACCTCTTTTGTATTCCTCATTTATTAATTTCCAATTGGAATAATTTAGTCTGCTCCATTAGCCTAAATGTAAGTATACAACTATACATTGGCATGGTGTGGTTGACATGGGCCCTGGTGCAGATAAAACAACAGGGCCGCCTGTCCACCTTTTTGGCGAGATTGGTGCCGAGGTGAGATGTTAACTACCTCGCCTGGTATACAGGAGGTCGTGGATTCCATCCCGACCCTAACACCTGTATATTTTGAGTTTGCGTGTTCTCCCCGTGGTCGCGTGGATTTTTCTCCAGGCTCTCCGGTTTTTCCCTCCACATTTAGAAACATGCGTTGTAGAGTATTTGGCTGCTATAAATTTCCACACGATAAGCCACTTCGTTGAGCTATCATCTGTGGCCATGTCGCATCTGAAAAAGAGCTACATAGCTCGGTGGGTCTTACCTGGTAAATAATTTTAAAAAGTTTATTTATAATTTTGTAGCCCTGCGTCTGGCCCCTCCGGCCCATGGTTCCCAGTGCAGTTGCACCGTTTGCACACTCGAAAGCTATGCAACCTTACTTAGAATACTAGCTGCATAAATTATAAACACATTTAATTCCCTCTAAGCGAAATTGATGTGGCAAATAGGATGAAATTCCCATCAATTCCAGATTACTCTGTTTTCCGCGCAAATGCTCGAATAACAGAATCAAGTAGAAAATAAAGTTCGTGCACTCATCGATTCAGGGTCACAGATAGCGGGAACAATGAATAACAGACACGAGGATAAGACGGATTTCAGCATTACATCTTCTCACACGCAACTTAACGCATGCATCATGAGGGCAATCGAGCAGGGGTGAGCTATCTAGTGTGCAGGCAGTCCAACTGCATCAGGGCCCACAGGCCAGAGAGCGCCAGGCGCCGGGCTACGAGGGTATCTGTGAAAAAAAGCTTCATAGCTCATCGGATTCCTCAATTTTAAATAAAGATTCTGTTTCTCATAAACTAATTAAACCACGCTACGCCCCCCCCCCTCCCCCCCGCTTGCGAGTTAATCGATTTTAATCATCGGATGGACGCATCGTTACATTCCCAGTTTCCACAGCGTAGCAGAGTATTGTTGTGTGTCCTCCCGTAGCACCGGTCCCAGTGCAGGCTACAGCGCCATGGCGAGCCACGCGGCCATGAGGCACAGGCCTCCGAAGGGCGTGACGCGGCCCAGCCAGCGATGGCCCGTCAGGCTGAGCAGATAGCATGACCCGGAGAAGAGCAACATCCCGGCGGTCATCAGCGACCCCGCCTGTGAGGTCGGCAGAGGGGTAGGGACACACACGTGGCGAGCGGGTGGGCACACACAGCTGCTCGGTGAGCAAAGGGTATGCACACTCAGTAATATTCCATCATGCCTTAGTAGGCATGGCTCAGCCGTAGGGCGTGCAGCTCGCATTGGGAAGGTTGCGAGTTCAGAAGCTGGTTGAGAATTGAGTCAGCCCATCATCACTCCAGGAACGATGAAATAAGTACCACTTTGCGAGGAAATAAAGAGTGTCTGTCCGAAGCTGTGACCACTCTTTCCATTAAAATGTTGAATTTCTACCACTCGCTTGGAAAGATTTGTGCCCGTCAATTTCTCATTTCAGTACGGAGAAGTTTTTTTGTTGGAGGACCACTCCAAGGCACCTCCCTGCCATACAATACAAAGTGCCAAACCTATAGACATTCAATTACCATCCTTGTAAATTAACCCAAGTGATATATTCATAAACAGAGACACACAACGTATCTCGAACAAGTGCTTAATATTTATTAAAAGTAGTAAAAGGGTAAGTTTTAAAGGCCGGACCACAAAACGAAAGTTAGAGGGGTGAAATGCAAGATCCAATTGCATTGTACAATACTTTGGTATGTTGAATTAAAAGGGTTTGGCTCCACCATCAGCCAGACAGGTGGTGTTGCTGTAAGCCTAACTATTCATAATACACATTTTCCCAATTCTTAAAATTATATCCGATGTTCTTTGCAATGGTTGCATCAAAATGAATGTTAGTTATTATTAACCTTGGCAAATTCCATTCTATTTCTGCACGATATTTATTTATACAGGGTTATTAAATACATATAATCTATTAATGAACACACTAATAATTCACATTGCTGACTAATAATAATAATGCTAACATTACTTTCATATCACTAAGCATGGGAATTGATCCTCAGATGCACAACTCCATTGAGCAATCGTGGGTTTATTTTCAAGTACAAAAAAACGGGCATGGTCAAATCAACATCGGTCATTGTCTATCCACTGCTAGATGAAGGCCCCCAAATTCCACCAGCATCCATTAAATCCCGTGATGCCAGCATCCATCTCTCTCCATCTCCGTGGTGCTCCATCCTCTCAATTACATTTTCTTCTTTGGCTGCCATTCCTTCGCCATTCTCGTCCATAAACCAAAATGCATTCTTGTCATGTGGTACCCGGACAAATTCCACACACTCCTCTGACTTCTATGTACGTGATCACCCCACTGCTGGATCAGGGGTTCCCCATGCCATGCGGGTTGTGGGAGTTTTGACCATACTTCACCATGCTGGTCAGTGTGGGTTAAGGATTGTGCTGCAGTGCCCTATACTTATCCCTGGAGCCTATTACAACCTGCTGTGCATGGTGGTCACCCATTCAAGCACTGTCCAGGCTCCAAAATCCCGCTTTGCTTCCGATATATGACACAATCAGATGTATTCCGGGTACTTTGGCGATTTGGTCACGTTTCCCCGTTACGGTAAATGATCATTCCACTCGGCCTCACACAACACTTGAACACCACGCAGACATTTGTAGACTCACCAGCAAGGGCCGACTGGCCTGCGGGACAGCCAGCATCGCCAGCGTGTGTACGAAGTGGTACCGGTTCGCCGTCTCGAACACCTGCACATGGGCACAACACATGCGTGGTGGTCGGGTGGCTCAGACGTCAAATCATTGAGCTGGAAATGACCGAGATCCTGGGTTTGAACCCAGGCAGGTGCCTGTGATTGAACGGGGTTCTCTGGTATGGTTAATTTATGGTCTCATTCTGGTCAGTAAAAAAAAACCCAGAATTTGGTTCTTGGATAAATTTAGTCTCCAAGAATGAAAAATATGAGTTGTTACTGTCGTGCGACGGAACGTTGTTACTCCTGGTGGCAGAGTAGGTAAGTGCTGCCCCCTAACGTGTCGACGCACCCATCAGGGGACAACAAGCACGCATTAGTGGGGTTTCACGCTACAGGGGCAATTACGGTACATTGAGAGACAGAAAAAGGAACATGTGGATTGAAGAACGTGCACCACCCATTTCTGTCAACCCATACGGTATACCCGTATTCTTGTACAGGGAAATTGAGTTTTCAAGTCCACATGGCATACAGCCGTTTCAATAAGGGCAAAAACAAATGTGTCTATTTGTTTGTGTTTCTTCCTTGTGATGGGACTTTGTAGGGTGAACGTTGACATTTATAAGGGCACGGGGTGACCAATAAGATCTGAATTGGTCTGTAATAAGGTGGGCACTGATACGGGGTTGATAGGTATGTGCACCAGTTGGTCGAGTCATCATCACCATGTTGACTGTTAAAAGACACGTTGAGTAGGGCTTGGGCAGGACACTTGTCTGAAGGAGGTTTATGGCCAGAGGTGGAGACTTCACGATTTATGCGGCCAAGAGGGAACTCACTCTGCATGAGCAACAACATCAACCCACGTGTATGAGATATAAGTTCGATGGGCTTGTTGCGTAGCAAGACCGCGAGATCCGGCGACAGGTTAGGTGAGGCCTTTATCCAGCAGTGAATAGATCCTGGCTGATGATTGTAAACAATCACACGGCCCCCAGTGATATGGTCTATGTGTGCGTGTGTAGGAGGTACATACACTTTTGAGGTAAACATCTGAAGTCGCAGGCTTGAACTCTGCACAGGATAGACAATGTATATTGCATGCATTGATCACGTGGACTAAAACACACACACAGGTGTATTTTATGCTGGTGGTTCTACACACTGGAACACAGCACAAATAAGCTGAGGCTACTCGGTAAAAATTTAACTTTGGTCCAAAATAAGCCCGACTTTGGCACGCTTACTGAATGAATGAGCAAATACTGCAGTGTTGAATGTATGTCGAGGCTCTTGCACCTTCACCAACCTTCACTGGTGAGTGTGGTGAACATACCTGTCAACCCCTTATCAGTGTCTACCTTATTCATACCTGTCAACCCCTTATCAGTGTCTACCTCATTCATACCTGTCAACCCCTTATCAGTGACTACCTTATTCATACCTGTCAACCCCTTATCAGTGACTACCTTATTCATACCTGTCAACCCCTTATCAGTGACTACCTTATTCATACCTGTCAACCCCTCATCAGTGTCTACCTCATTCATACCTGTCAACCCCTTATCAGTGTCTACCTCATTCATACCTGTCAACCCCTTATCAGTGACTACCTTATTCATACCTGTCAACCCCTTATCAGTGTCTACCTTATTCATACCTGTCAACCCCTTATCAGTGACTACCTTATTCACACCTGTCAACCCCTTATCAGTGACTACCTTATTCATACCTGTCAATCCCTTATCAGTGTCTACCTTATTCATACCTGTCAACCCCTTATCAGTGTCTACCTCATTCATACCTGTCAACCCCTTATGTGACTACCTTATTCATACCTGTCAACCCCTTATCAGTGACTACCTTATTCATACCTGTCAACCACTTATCAGTGACTACCTTATTCATACCTGTCAACCCCTCATCAGTGTCTACCTCATTCATACCTGTCAACCCCTTATCAGTGTCTACCTCATTCATACCTGTCAACCCCTTATCAGTGACTACCTTATTCATACCTGTCAACCCCTTATCAGTGTCTACCTTATTCATACCTGTCAACCCCTCATCAGTGACTACCTTATTCACACCTGTCAACCCCTTATCAGTGACTACCTTATTCATACCTGTCAATCCCTTATCAGTGTCTACCTTATTCATACCTGTCAACCCCTTATCAGTGTCTACCTTATTCATACCTGTCAACCCCTTATCAGTGTCTACCTTATTCATACCTGTCAATCCCTTATCAGTGTCTACCTTATTCATACCTGTCAACCCCTTATCAGTGTCTACCTCATTCATACCTGTCAACCCCTTATCAGTGTCTACCTTATTCATACCTGTCAACCCCTTATCAGTGTCTACCTTATTCATACCTGTCAACCCCTTATCAGTGACTACCTCATTCATACCTGTCAACCCCTTATCAGTGTCTACCTCATTCATACCTGTCAACCCCTTATCAGTGTCTACCTTATTCATACCTGTCAACCCCTTATCAGTGTCTACCTTATTCATACCTGTCAATCCCTTATCAGTGACTACCTTATTCATACCTGTCAACCCCTTATCAGTGTCTAACTTATTCATACCTGTCAACCCCTTATCAGTGTCTACCTTATTCATACCTGTCAATCCCTTATCAGTGTCTACCTTATTCATACCTGTCAACCCCTTATCAGTGTCTACCTCATTCATACCTGTCAACCTCTTATCAGTGTCTACCTTATTCATACCTGTCAACCCCTTATCAGTGTCTACCTTATTCATACCTGTCAATCCCTTATCAGTGACTACCTTATTCATACCTGTCAACCCCTTATCAGTGACTACCTCATTCATACCTGTCAACCCATTATCAGTGTCTACCTCATTCATACCTGTCAACCCCTTATCAGTGTCTACCTTATTCATACCTGTCAACCCCTTATCAGTGACTACCTCATTCATACCTGTCAACCCCTTATCAGTGTCTACCTTATTCATACCTGTCAACCCCTTATCAGTGTCTACCTCATTCATACCTGTCAACCCCTTATCAGTGACTACCTTATTCATACCTGTCAACCCCTTATCAGTGACTAACTTATTCATACCTGTCAACCCCTTATCAGTGACTACCTTATTCATACCTGTCAACCCCGTATCAGTGTCTACCTTATTCATACCTGTCAACCCCTTATCAGTGACTACCTCATTCATACCTGTCAACCCCTTAACAGTGACTACCTTATTCATACTTGTCAACCCCTCATCAGTGACTACCTTATTCATACCTGTCAACCCCGTATCAGTGTCTACCTTATTCATACCTGTCAACCCCTTATCAGTGACTACCTCATTCATACCTGTCAACCCCTTAACAGTGACTACCTTATTCATACTTGTCAACCCCTTATCAGTGACTACCTTATTCATACCTGTCAACCCCTTATCAGTGCCTACCTTATTCATACCTATCAACCCCTTATCAGTGACTACCTTATCACAGACCAAACCAGACCTTATTGGTCACCCCGTGCCCTTATAAATCTCAACGTTCATCCTATCACAAGGGAGAAACACAAACAAATAGACTAAAAACTAAATCTCCCTGCACAAGAAGAATACGGGTGAACCGTATGGGTTGACAGCTATGGGTGAAGTATGGTCGAATAGCCACCTGGTCCGCCGGGGATGACCTCATCCAGCAGTGGATCAACATATATACAGTACGTGTAAAGCACAACATTAACAACCGTTACCTCATTGTCCGGATTTCACAAAGAGGCTCCCTCCCCGACTTTCATTGCTTAAAAGATAGCGGCGAGTCAGAGCGCGTCTCATAGAATCTGTCTCGAGAGAGCAAGGGGACGTCTCCTAATCTGGCGACACTTCTGCTGACGGACGTGCAACTTTAGACAGACATCTCGGTTCATGGTGACTGGTAAGTGTATGGGTAAGACGTAAGATGGTAAGTGTAATGGGTAAGACGTAAGACGGTAAGTGTATGGAAAGGAGTAAGATGGTAAGATGCTAAGTGTATGCTAAGTAGTAAGTGTAATGGGTAAGATGGGACGTGTATGGGCAAGATGGTACGTGTATGGGCAAGATGTTACGTGTATGCTAAGTGTATGGGTAAGATGGTATGTGTATGCTAAGTGTATGGGTAAGATGTAAGATGGTAAGTATTAAGCTGCTAAGTGTATGTATGTATGTGCGGAGTCTTCGTGCTACACTGTACTGTATACGCACTGTGCGCTCCGTAGGCGCCGAGACCGACCGCCAAGAACCCCGACAGCCCGGCCACCGTCAGAAACACTTTCTCCGCCATGGAATCCGGCTCATCGACAATGGATTATCGACGTAATGCTTTGAAGTAAACAAAAAGTCAGTTGACTGTAATAATACTCGGCTAGGGCAGAGATGTGTAGGGAGCGTCGCGGCCTCTGGGACCTGGGCCGATTGCGTAAAAGCGAAACCCATAACAACTGCCGCTCGCTGTTGCAATACCATAGAGCGGACAGGGCCAATGCATGCGTTGTCCAGCGTAACAAATGTAATACGAAAGCCAGATTTCACGTTGCCACATCAGAGGGTTTACCTCTAGGTTTAGGCGCAAACCTGTGCAATTGCGATGCGCGCAAATACTAACGGAACGTTCGCTGATCTTTCAAACGCTCCGTCTCCGCGGCGAACGTTCCTCTCGCTGTGCAAACTCGGCCACCCCCAAAAGAACCGAACGTTTTCAATTCGAACGGCGCGGCCAACGTTTTCGCGCCAAAACGCCCCTCCTGCTAAATTCCCACAACGCGCGCGCGCTCGCTCACGCGCTCGCCCGCCCATTGGCCGAGAGCGCCGCCGTCGTCGCCGTCGCGCCGCCCCGCGTCGCCCGCCGCCTCGCGGCCATTGGCCCAAGGGGTTGCGACGCTGGCCAATCGGGTGCGGCGCCCCCCACCACCACCCCCCACCGCGCGCGCTGTCGAGAATTTGCCGTGGAAGGTTGGCGTAGGCGACTTCTGTGAGCGGTGAGAGGCGGTGGTGTCGTCGTCGTCTTTCGCCTTGATTTATTTTTGCGGGGGGTGGTGGGTTTGACCTCAACGCGTCCGCGCGCCGCTCGCGATACGCTTCGCGCGGCAGGGCTAAGCGCGCGTTTTCGTTCCCGCCGGCGATTTTTGAGGGAAGTCGCCGCTGTCGCCCGTCCCGCCTCAGGTTCGCGAGCGGGTCCGTTCGCTCAAAATGGCGGCACCTGCTGGCCTCGCTTGGCGTCGGATCGCTGCTGAGAAGCGACTCTCTTACAATTCAATTAGCGTTATTTACAGTCGCGAACATTAATTAAGTTGCGTTAGTTGGCCTACGGTTGCGAGCGTGCATTGTTGGGACTCTGTGCGCGCGCTGTGCGGTTCGTGGTGATTCGTCGGCGGGGCGAGACGGGTCTACGTCAAGGCCCTCTGTTTCTTTGGACCCAGGCCCCTTGCATTCACAAAATTTCACTTTATATTTGTGTTAATTCTAAATATTATTGTATTAGTATTTAGAATGAACACAAACGGTAGTAGTTGTTGCAATTTTGCTTGTGCATTTATTGGATTTATGCGTTTGCCCCCGAAACAGTTGTCAAATTGTAGATGCATAGGGTTTGTTCCGGGCTTGTCTGACGTGAGTTTATATTCTGCAATAAATAGAGAATAACACTTGAATATTGCTGTCATATAAAAATCTAGAATAGTCACTAATGTTGTAAGGGAATTTTATCAATGTTTAAAACATCGGTCCATGCTGTTGTAGCGCTGAAATAAGCAAATACACGCCTCCATATAATCGTTCCCTCAAAAAAATATGCGAGTTGCGACTAATTATATTTTCCAGAACGATGCTGATTGCTGTGTTGTGTATAATATAGTTTTATATCGAACTAGGACCCATAACTTCGATAAGAGATATGCATATAAACACGTGAACATCTGGCAGTTCACCAGCCTGGCTGCTGATGAAACACTGTCAAAACCGTCGCAGGAGTTGTACTTGTTGTTGAACCATTGCTGTTGCTAATGAAATGCGTGAAACCTTTATTTTTCTCTGTGTGTGTGTAGGGACGTGTTCTTGTTTATTTATTTACATTTTCCACGACGCTTATTACGATGCGCAATATTAATGGCGTTATATAATCGTGTTTGTCGCCGCGCCAATACGTGATGTTAACTCCACGTGTCGTCGGCGAATAATCTCACTCGCGTATTGTATCTTTACGTAACGTGGTCATTCACGAATAGTACGGAACAAAGACTGAAAAGTGCACGAAGAAGCATGGAGAGATGTTTGAAAGTTACATTGAGACACACAAAACATGCAGGTTAATGGCATAAACCAAACTTAAGAACAGTCAATTGGTTTGTACATGATAAGTAATGGCTTCAGAGGAGGATGATGAGGGATGGTCAAGAATAAAGACGCAGTGGCAGCCACGGAAAGGTGTTAGTAAATTGCAGGATTGTGAGAGGTGGCGGCGGGTGAGTTAGACCTTCATCCATTGGTGTCTGGTTGATGATCTTGAATTAAAGCTTATGGTCATGGTTAATTTGATGTTGTGTCACAATGGTAGTTGACATTTTGTCTGTAGATGAGTGACCCTTAGCAATGCGATCTTTGGTAGTGTTGACTTGAGTGCAGTTTGCATTGATCATTGTTATTTATGTATCAATTGTTACATTACTATTATTACTACACTGATACTCATGAACAATTCCCATGATCTACTGCTTTGGGGAGGCTGCCTTCTAGCAGTGGATTGACAAAACCCTGCAAATTACTGTATACAATTTCGGAATATTAAAGTGCTGCACCTGCCGTAATAGCAGTTGCTATTTGTTGACCGAAAGATTGCTTTCTTTTTGTATTTCACTGTGTTGAACTTAGTTCCGCTGTATGCAGTTGTTTTGAGCTGCTTAATCAGCCTGAAGTCGCACAAGCTTTTACAATTAAATGACTTGCTTGGCTTTTTACAAATCAGGTTTCCCTTTTAAGAATTGCTGTATTGATTTTTTGATAGCGCTCTGTACTCTAGGGTGTCTCGAGCGCTTGACGTTACATCTCGTCTCAAACATTTGAAAGGGCAGCCCCACTGGCAGCTGCCTCAAAAGGTGACTCAGCACCTGGCCTGCATAGACATTAATCTGCCATTAGGGGGCGGTGGTTGCTACGCGTAATTCCAATTGGGAGTTATTTGCCTCAGCAGATTTCAGTATTTAGGATGCCATTTGAACATAGAAATCAACTTTATACACGTGGTGTGAAAAGTGCGTTGTTTTCTAGAATTGTATGTGGTCAAACTCCGAAATGTGAAATTATTTAAGAAATTGTGTGATCCCCGGATTGGTTGTAACTTAGCAGTGTAGTTGTGTTTAATGATTATTTCACAATTGGTATGAAACCAATGATTCACTCACTGCATTTCATAACTTTTTTTATCCTTAACTCATTGTTTTTTTTGTGTTTATTATTTAGGTTTGCATAATGCACACCAGAAACTTACAGACAGCAGAGCCTAAAGAGCTGGCTGGACACGCGTAAGATCCGCTTGTTTCATGTTTCCCTTGCATGCATATTTTAAACATTTAAATTACACCTCATTTGGGTCATCTATAACAGAACTTGTCTACAATAAAATAATTATATTTGTAAATGTATCAGTCCACTGTTGGATGAAGGCCTCACCACGCTGTGTCGATGAAAAGAGGAGTTGATTTATCAAATCTCATAATTGTAGTCATTGCCGGTGGGTGAACTTGGGAGACCCAGGATCAGTTAATATATCGCTCGCCACTGATGTTAGCCGTAGTCAAAAATATAACTGGTTGCCAGATTCAGAGCATAGAACCTGTGTTAGATGTTAGATAATACAGCCGTTTGTCAATCCATGGCTGGATGAGGGCCTTCCAACTGCATGTAGATGAAATCCACATTAGGGTGTATAAAATTACGAGGGATAATTTTATAATTTGCATTTAAGACACCATTGCAATATATAACATTGATTATTATGTACTTCGTTTATACAAAAGCATTATTAGCTTTGATATTTTTTCATGCTTTGGTCAGGTATATATAAAGGCTTAACGGGCCAATTAAAAATGACCATTCTCAAATAAATTATTTGAGAGAGTTCATGATCATTTGAGGAGAGATCAGCCACTTTCAAATTTTCCGAGGAACAGTACTTAAAAGCATGGCTCTCCAGTGACTGCTGGTTTGACATTAAAAGTTCTTAAAACAGTGTTCTTTAACTTAATTTTCTGGCAGTCCACAAAATAACATTGTGTTTGCAGAGAGTGACTTGATGCCTTGTGTCAGGAGTAGGGATTTTATGACAGTACAGACGTTCCATATGTACTTGTGACCACAGTTCTGTACATGTTTTTTCCTGTTCTCTCTTGTTTAACTAATTTTCATTTTGCTAATATTTATTGTCCACAATTCTCTCACCACTATCTCCTGTTTATCTCTTTCATCACTTATCTATATGGCAAGCCGTGTCGCTCAGTGGATCGTAGCTCGGCGGCTCACTGCAAGTGCCTTAGCGGGCCACATCTGGCCAATGACCGACGAGTTTTTAATAACCTTGTCTTAAAGTACAAACCAACAGAATATGTTCTTAAGTGTGGTTTTAAGCGCGCTGTTAATTGCATGTAAATAGTCCCGCTAGGTCCGTGAAAGCGGTGGACTCCAGGCCTAGCAGTCCACACTTGCCCGCCACCAAGAAGCGATGCGCACACGGGGGGACCCCGAACCTCATCGGCCGCGCCTCCCTGCGGCAGCGTCCCGAGTCTCCGCGGAGCGCGGCGCCGCGCACACCCGCCACTCGCTCGCCGGACAAGCCGCGCTCCCCCGCCAAGCACGGGGTGCGGTTCCCTTCTTCCCATCTTTGATGCAGGACTCTGCAGAGAGAGCTCTGAGGGTTTGGGGGCGGGGGGACCTGTCTGGATAAATAAAGGACTTACGCAGGCGGATATATCGTGTCAAAACCCAAGAGTCAGGAGAAAAATCTAAATTGCACTCCAAAAATAATGAAAAGCGTGCAAGGAAATGCGTCTTCACACTGCAGAAACGTAACGGACCAGGCAGTCCCAGGCTAGTACTGCCATGTAATTACTTTTGCATTGAATTGTGCGATCCAGAATTTCCTTGGAGATTTTCAGTGGTTTTAATGGAATTTATTTATTTCCTCTTGTATTTTTATGACCTATGAAACTATGTCAACAACGTTACATGTTGTAAATATGTTAAATTGGTGCTGATTGAAATAAAGGGGCTTTTTAAGGAAAGGCATGTATGCCCCACAATTAGCCTGTTATTTCAAGAACATGCTGGGATTCAATAAGTTTTTATGATTTCCAATCATTTAGTTTACATTGATTATTTAATCTAATTTGTAGTCTAGTTTGCATCATTTCTGCTGCAGTCTCATTTATACTGACCCATTTAATTTGACTCAAATTAACATTTGAACATAATTTGTGTCAAATGTAAATAATTCATCCTTTATATGCAGTTTATTGCATGTACTGTTAGTGTAAGAAATTATTAAGTGATTATTCAAATCAATGTAGGCTTTTTATTGGTATTGCATTTAAAAAAAGAGGCACATTTATACAGGCTTCTCATGAAATAAGGGATTACCGCATGCTGTTCTCTGCTTTGCAATGAACATTAGAAGTTGCATTTAGAAAGTTTCCTATTCGTTTTATTGAATATAGTTATTAATAATCACATTTTTTATCCTGTTTGGCGTATGTTGAAGAAAATTGTAGTTCAACAAGGACTTATCGTGTCATGTAAATGCAAGCAATTTTGTTCTGTCTTTCATGGATGACCAGTGCTGTATTAATTTAACTAATGATTTGCATGTGAATTCGCTGCATGCTTTTAGAGTCCGACGCAGAAGGTGGCACAGCTTCGCCGTTCGACCAGAGGTAGCAGTGCTTCACCGGCCACGGTTTCGGCCAAGCGCACACCGCAAAAATCTCCCGCGCCGAAGACGAGCGAGAAACTATCTGGGCTGGCCTCGATCAAAACTCCCAACTCGAATGCGGTCTCCTCACGTCACTCCACCCAGGGGAAGAACTCTACTCTCAGCCACTCGCCAAAACGGCCGCAGTCGCCCGCACTTTCGTCTTCATCCAGAAAATTAACCAAGGTCGTCAGGGTTCCGATATTGCCTGTGGAATTGGGGCATGCTGTGACACAGAGGTCGCCCGTCACCAGGACGAGGAGGACGCTGCCAGTTCTGTCTTCGTTGCCCAGCTCGGGCTGCCTTGTGCATGCTTTGGAGCATAACAATCTGTCGCCCACAAAGTGTATGCCTGTCGTGAGGCTCACGCCCTTAAAGAAGCTTGAAACAACCTGCGTAAAATTGTCTCCCAGCAGCGTGAAGAACGACAAGGAGACAAAGAGCTCGGTGAGTGGTATGCGGATGCTGAGATCGCAGCGTAAGGGAATTTCTCTTTCCACAACACTCAGTAAAGTTGTGAAGAGTCTCTCCAGCGAACTGCTGACAGTAGACTCCTCAACGAAAGACGAAAAAACCTGCAGTCCTGAGTCTCCACAAAGCTCCCAAAATTCACCGCTTCAAGATACTTCTCAAAATAAGCTGACAATAAATTCATTTTACGGAACTATATTGGACAAAAGTGGAAAAGCTTGTTACAAGACACCACTGGACAGGAAGGCAGTGCGACTCAAAGAGGAGGAGGAGGTACACATACCAGCAAAGATTGTTTGCAAAAAAATATCTCATTCTGGACACATCTCAAAGACAGAAGTAATACAGGTTCAGAGTAAGGCAGCCACAGCAGCGGCAGTGAAACCGTCATCTTCGAAGGGTAAAGGGCACCTCGTAAGCAAGGTCGGTAGTGGTAGTGCTGACAGGAGTCCATCCAGCCCCATGAACCAGCTCTCCGACCTGAGAAAACGATTCGCGGAATTGGGGGAGGAGGCGGAGGAGGAGCTCAAGGAGGCAAAGAGGAAAAAGTGTGAAGCTGAGAATTGTGAGGCCAGCAATGGCGAGACCAGCAATGGTGAACACGTAGTTGACGAGGTGCCAGCCGATGAGACTGACGAAGAGGCAGAAAAAAGCGCCGCGAACAACGTTGCTTTAGTGGCAGAGGAGCCCTGGAAGAAGATCTGGAAGAAGACGGAGTCGGACGCAGCCAAACAGAAGCCACGGATTTACGTGGGAGCTGCGTTCTTCAGCCCTAAGCTAATTCGGCCAGGAAAAATGCGCAGTAACATGGCACGGGTGGGCAATGCAAGCAATGGCATCAGAAAACTGGCGATTGGGACAGCCTCACCAGCCACCGGCACTAGCAGAGGGACCAGACTCTTTGCTGAGAGCCACGAGTCAAAGATGTTTATTCCCTCTACATCCTTCGTGTATGAAGCATCGGCCACCGATTGCAAGCCTCGAGTGGTTGCACCAGTTGCTGGCGCCGACAGGATCAGTGATTATGACGATGCAGATGATGGCACTGTGTCAGTGGCAGCGGTGGATGAGGGCGGTAAATGTGGGAGTGGACAAGCGAGAGGGATGACTTTCAGCGTGAAGAGCCTATGTGAGGACTGGGAGGAGATTGCGGCCGAGAGTGGTACAGCTTTGTCCAAGGTGCTTATCTAACCCCCCCCCCCCTAATCCACCTGCCTCCGCATGTCCCAGGGTGGTGGTCTTACAATGGTATGGCTTATTATGATGAAAATATTCAATTGTCTATTGTCACATTGCATATCCTGATTTAATGATGGCATTAAATAATACTGTACTTAAATGTGTCTTAAAAAGCCTCACCGAGTACCGAAGTCTATTTTAGGAAGAACCTGCATTGAAACATTTTTGCAAATTTCTTTTGAATTGCCAAGTGTTCATTCCACTATTTAATGAGTGCATAGCATGTGGAATGAGATTGAAGAAAACTCACACTTTGAGGGGATTAATACTCTAAAAGTTTGGATATTCTGGTTCCCGAACCCTCTAGCTGGACTACCGTCTCCCTTCCACCTTACAGCTCAGCCGATTTACACGGTTTCACAAATCTTTTACAGCTGCTGATGTAAGCGTGTAATATCCACTTGCTTTATTTCAGGATGCAGAGCTGGCGCCATCGGAGGATGCAGTGTCGCTATCGTCATGTAAAAAACATGCCTGCAAAGCAGAGGACGACAGGGAGTGTAGTGGTAACACTTGCTGCGACGTCTGTCGCAATCACAAGCAGTTTTAATTGTTTATATATGTACGAGTACATCGATAGAGCCACAGCTCATGGCTTTGTTCATGCTTTACAACTAAGGTTGAAAATGTTGGTGCATTAATTGGCTATTCATTCGTAATGGCACACTATAACTTTCAGAAAGATGATCCATTGTGAAATAACCTGTAGCATAGAGTGTTGGTACTATCGGGGACTTCCTGTATTGAAACGGGCCAAATTGATCAACGTTGGTCAAAACCTCGATGCACAAACTTTCTGAATGCATTTTGCCCTGAGATTCTGCAAATGAAATTCCTTTGAAGGTGAACACATGTTCGAAAGCTTGAAATAATTATCCATGTATATGCATGATGTTTCCGAACTTGTTACCTTCCATTTACCACTCGGCTGGAAGCACAAATATCCTTTCCAGTTAATGTTGTCCAGGCTGTGTAATCTCATGAATTGCAATTTTTGCTGCTCATGCAGTAGAAACCCTTAGGTGGCATTGCATAACCATATTGTGATTGTGGTATACTTGTAAATACAATATTTACACGCAGGAAATTTCATATTGTCTTCGAAGCAGATTAAACCTCAAAAGACAATAGCTCTTCTTGTGCATCATGGAGTGTCTGAAATGAGTTTAAAGTTTTGTTATTGATAAAATAGACTTTAAAATCATGGGCAGGTGTGTCCATGGCATGGATGACTGTGATGTCACTCCCATATATTTTGTTATATCAATGCTGTGGTTTTACAATAGCACGGCATAGTCTAGTGCTTGTCTACTACATATCGAACGCCTCAAAAGAACCCTAAGTACGTTTTTTATGCATTCAAGATTATCTAGTGGGGTTTCTCTCTTCGCACACATTCTTAATATAACCCCTTCACACCAACTGGTTGCTGGTAATTAAGTATTACATTGGGTATTCAGAGGTGTGTTCATATTTGCTCTTATCCAGTCAAACAGGTTTGTCCTAGATCAATTGTGAGTGTCCTCAGCTTAGGCAAGACAAAAAATAATAATCCCACGATGCTAAAATATAGAACGTTTTAACACGTGATTAAACTTAAAATAGTGAAAAGAAAATTCTACCCTTGGAACAATAACTCAAGACCTCATATGAGTCTTGCATTTTTTGTTCATTATAATAGCTTTTTGTGTTTAGTTGTCCCTTCCCCATGCACCTCCGATTAGCACGTTAGGCTTCTGGGCTGTATTACCCAGTGCTGTGAGGTAAAGCCTTGACCTGGGTTACCGTGTTTATTGCATATGAATGGCGAACACAATTGTCAGGCATTGACATGTGCTGTAATCGTGGTTGTTTTGTGCTGTGTTCAGAATCTCCGGTGACGAAAGCCGTGTACCCGATATTCGACACGGCAGGCCGCTCTGCACCACCTGGTGGGAGGTCAGTCGGGTGCCTTGCACCAGGCGACATCGGCGTCGAAACGTTTTGGCCCTTTTGTCAGTCCACTGCGGGATGATGAGAGCCTTCCCCACGCCGTATTGGTTGTGGGCCGGTTATTTGACCACGCTTCACGCTGGTTAGTACAGGTGGGCTGTGGTCATCCAGACTGTGGTCATCCAAAGCAGACCGTACAGCGTATAACGACACAATGCCCGATCCACAAATACAAAAGGAGACAACACAGCAATACACTCTGCTGCTGTTCTTGACCCGGTTGTCTGGCTTAATCCACCTGAAAGTGAAATTATTGTAGTTGCTCTGCATTTACATCATCAGCCGTACGAAAGAAGTACAGGTAGGCGAAAGCTTGAGAGCGTAGATGCGGGTGAAAATAAGTGCAGTACAACAATTGATCCTGATGTACTGCTGACCACGTAGTATGGCCCTGGAGCTACTTACAACCTGATCTGCAAGCTCAACCCTGGTTAGCATCTGAGATATTAAAGGAGATTTGGCACATTCCAGGTTATTTGGTCATAAACATCATGGGATACATTGAACTCTTGATCTATATTTACTTTTTTCAGATGTATGTATCTCTCAAGGCCATTATGACGTGATTCTGCAGGTTAAAGGGGGGCAAGCATCCACTTTCACCACGGCAGGGCACGCCGGTGCCCCCCACCACACCCGTGCTGCCCCCTCCGTCGCCACCATGTTCCCCGGAAAATACTGTGGACGCCGCCTCGTCGTCGCCACCACCCGCTGTTATTCCTGCCGTCAAACCGGACCCCGTGTCCACCCACAAACTCCGGAGGCCTCGCAAGCAGACGGATGACGACGAACAGCTCATCATTGTGAGTTTTGAGTGGCAGCGGCGTTCAGCGTGTGCCCGCAAATAAAATTGGCGGGTATATCATCTCCTGCATATAATGGAAGTTTTCAAGGAAGAGGCATCACAAAAAAACAAACATATCTTTCTTGTTGAAAACCACGCAAGGCTTTGTGTCCTGGGCTCTGGCACGAGTTTGAGACTTTTAGTAAGAATTGAAGCTTTTAAAATTAACTTTATCTCGTTTTGGTGCCCTCGCAGCATTCAAGTGATATCACTGCATTGAAAAGTAAAAAAAAATGGTCACATCAGTGGCAGCATTTGGGTATGCCTGAAAATCACTTTAAAAGTCCTCTTTTCTCATTAAAAGTTTGAATACTCATTTTGTACAGCCCATAGTAATGGCATCAGACCATTACTGTAGTCTCTTCAGCTTTCTTGCCTTCAACAACCTGTACCGACCAGCATGGTGAAGTATGGTTAAAATAACCTCTACGACACATGTTGTGGGCATGCCATCCAGCAATGCATTGACAAAAAGGTCTTTTGGGGGGAGCAGGCGCTGTGAGAGCCACGTGCCGTAGTGTGTGACGGTGCTGTGCGTTGGCAGGATGCGGGGCAGACGCGCTTGGGCGTGCAGACTTGTGACACGTGCGGGATGATGTACTCGGCTGCCAGCCCCGAGGATGAGGCCCAGCACCTACAATTCCACAAGCGCTTCATCAGCACCATCCGCTTTGTGGTGAGGTGCCCCATTCCGCCTGCCCGTTCTCAACTTCACATTTACAGTCATCGTGTCACCATCAATGTTTGTATTAACTTGTATTCCGTCATCCTTGGTGCTTTCATACTCTGTCTGTTTTGTTATTCGTGTAATTAAGTGTTTTTTGGCAAAAAAAACACCCCACGTTATGTAGCAATTAAAAATGTGGTAATTTGTCAACGTATATTAACATCTGTCTTTCCTATTCCGAAGAAGGGACATTTATCAATACTTAGCCTATTGTACAGGGTGCTTCAAAACATGTTAGCACTTATATGGGACTGTCGTTTTTAATGGAAAAAGAATGGATAATACACTGTAACATGATAACAAATGTATGTTAATAGCTTAAAAAATTCAGTCTCCACTTGTTCGCCATCATTGTCAACACGTGCCTGGAATCTTTTCCAGGTGGACTCCAGAGTCCGGAGGCACATTTGTTGTTGTATTATTGCAAATTCTCGGAAGTGTTAACAGTTTTTTGAAGAACCCTGTATTTGTTTGTGTCAGTGTAATGAAGTATATGGTGGGCATAGTTAAAAGAATAAAGACTAGTGCATATGAGGGGTTATGTAAGTAGGTGTAATGGCAGCTTAAGCCAGACAGTGTGACAACTACAATTTAATAATATTGATCTCATTAATATAAGTTGTAATCCATCCTTCAAAGAAATGGTTTTAGAGTGAGCCCAGGGTAGTGTTTAATATGGAAAGTAGAACAATAATATTGTTGGCAGGTACAGAGGAACATGATGTGCTTTTCCTAGTTGCCAGCAATTATTTCCAAGGGCTGTTGTAAACTGTTGTGCAAGCACTGGCTCTCCTAACACGTGGTGTGTAACGTGTACAGGGCTGGAAGAAAGAGAGGGTGATTGGGGAGTTTCCTGATGGAAAGATCATCCTAGTACTTCCTGGGGACCCCAAATACGCTCTGAAAAAGGTGCTCATGCGCAAACATTCACACTCAATATTGCCTTCTGTGTAAAAAGTTGTGTTTTTTAATAGTTTTTTTTATTAGATGAGGCTGTGAATATCTCCGGGCTCAAGTGTGTTATTTGTGTGTAGGTAAGTTTATTGTTGTGATGTGACAGTGAATTATGCATAATTGTCTGCACAGTCAACAATGTGTCCCTAACATTGGGCAAAATACAATTAAAGATATGACTTTCATGGATGTTTTCGTCAAAATGATGCATCAGTTGTGGATGGGAATTGTTGGGAGGAATAGGTCTTCACCGTTACAATATCAGCACTTTTCAGCATTTTTTGGCAGATATAGAATGCTCTTGTGTTGCGCTTGCATGATGAATCGTAACCATTGGCTGTGCCTGTTAAAATAAGTATATGCTCCTTTTATAGGGAGTTTTGGATGGATTATGGGTTCGATGTTAAACACTCAACACTGTTCAATGTTAGGTGTGTATTAGTGTGGCACAAAAAAAACACAAAACATACTGCACTCACTGTTCTTTACAAAACTGATGTGTATGAGTTTGCACTTCTCGGCATGTGGTTTGGCATAATGGAATTTTTATTGCATGGGCTGGATGTGTGCGAGAGTGGGCATGTGGTTAGCATGATAGGTGCAATTTGAGATCCGTTAAAGTTTAAGCCACCCAGCGCAATGTTGTGAGCGTCTCTCCTGCACTTTCCTTTGTTGCTGTGTTCCTCACCTGACTTATGTGCCTTGGTGATATTACCGCCAATTAGTTTGTGAATGACAGTTTTTATTTTTTGGTTTTCATGTTGCCAGGTAGAGGAGGTGCGGGAGCTGGTGGATGCAGATCTCGGCTTCCACGTGGCGGGCTTGCGCAATCCATCCCGCACCAAGACTCTGCTCTTTGTGTCCAACGACAAAAAGGTGGTGGGCTGTCTCATCGCCGAGCACATCACCAAGGTAAGATGTCCATCCTCTTGATGATTTCACTCATTGCTGTTTGCTCATTGGAACTTCCAAACGTGTGTTGTGTATTTAAAGCAGCTGCTGGGAAAGTAGATGGTTTGCTGGTGGTGCATGCTGTGTTCTTTTATTTTTAAGTAAGTTTTGTGAGTCCAACATTGATCTCTAACCATAATTGATGGTTTATTATTGAAAGGTGGTAATGAAATTTGGCAGTTACATATGATGGCCATTGAATTATTTTATCATTATACATGTTTGCCCTGCCTGTTAATCGCAGTGTGTTGGTTTTTAATTTTCCCACCATACATTTGCTCACTCTTAATGACATTTTATTGATTGTTTATCATCAGCTTTTGGAAGGTTGCGGTCCTTAAATCATAATTAAATTAATCATGTCTTTAGGCCATGTCTGGCTATTAATGCATAGTCAAACTCCTCCATCTCTCGATCCTTCACCAGGTCCTGAAGACTCATCCGGTTTCTTCCACTGTTAATCCATGCTGCAATTATTTATGCTACAGGGTTACCGAGTTTTGCCAGATAAGCAGATAAAGCCAGACCAGGATGCCGCCGCCTCGCCACAAACGGCCTGCGCTGGCGACGACACAAAACCCGGAGCGGCTCCACTGCTGGATGGTGAGCCGGCTGACATCAACGGGGCAACCAGATCCCCGCAGCCCACAACGGCGACGACCAAAGTTGAGACGTCACCGGAGCAAAGCAGCAGACCTCCCCAGGAAGGGGATGGGCGAGGAGAGGGTGATGGAGCGGCGGTGGCCGTGGCGGCGGTGCCGGTGGTGGCAGCAGCAGCACAGGGTCTCGGCGAGCCGCTCGAGGCACTTCTGGAGAGGCAGCAGGCGTGGTGCTGCTCCTCCGTGGCAGAGCCAGCCATTTGTGGCGTGAGCCGCATCTGGGTGTTCAGCCTCATGCGCCGGCGTGGCATCGCCACTCGCATGGTGGACTGTCTGCGGTGAGCGACGGTTTGTCCTTGTGTTTAGATAACCAGAGGACGATAGCACTAGGTGGTTCACACAGACCAAATCATCTCATTGAATTACAGCAGAAATATATAGTCGGTTACGATTGAGTGTTGTTTGGAATATGCCTACTGTAAGGCACTTAAGTGGCTTTTTAATGGAAAGTTAAGGATTTTGTAAGGTTTTGGGTAATGGATCTTCAGAAGAGAGAGAGATGGAAGCCAGATACATTTTCGGTACTCTTTATGAGACCACATTTTACAATGTGTTTAAGTCCCTAATGCAAAGCTTGACTGTGCTTTATGTCCACACGATGCCCATTCTTACCTCTTCTTACTCCTGCTGCATGGGTGTCACAGGAGGAACTTCTCGTACGGAGTGTACCTGAGTAAGAACGAGCTGGCCTTCTCGGACCCCACTCCGGACGGCAAGCTGTTCGCCATGCGCTACTGCCAGACTCCACGCTTCCTCGTCTACAACTTCATCAACTGACGAGACCCACCGGGGACGGACGGGTCGTGCTGTGAAACCTCCCGACTTCTGCAGCCAAAGATCGATGTCTGGTGTTTGCGGCAAGGATTAATTCAGGATGTTGAGATGATGGTGGAGCCTTGTGGGATTATAGGTCGATTTTCCTTCATTGGCCACTGGAGAGTGTGCTATCAAGTGGGTTCCACTGTAAACGTTGGTTTGCATTTCGTTTTAAATGCCTTCAAAGTTTACCTGTGCTGCGGGTTTGTGCGCCGCGCGTGACCTCGGGAGCCCGCAGAGAGCTTTATTTTTGTCCCTTCCACCCGCTCTCGTCCGTGCACCATCAAGCCTGTACTTCTGCAGCAGCTACATCCATGCTCAATGGCGTAGCGTGGTTGCCATGGGCTCTGGTGCAAGGCGTGAAATTGGGGCCCCTGTCAAAAAATGTTCCACTCCTTCGTAGCCCGACGCCGGGGCCCATACAACCTATGGGCTCCGGTGCAGTTTTAACTGCACACTTGATAGCTACGCCACTGCACACTTGTGGCTGCACGACCCTGCCGATTAATCTGTGCTGCAGATCCAACCCTTTTGGGCATTTTCAAGTTATTATACGTCAAGGGTCAGATTTACATCTAAACCAGGTGGCCAACTCTCTTTGCTCGCGCAATTTTCACCATTGTTAGTAAAGAAGACATCGTCACACTTTTGCCAGAAATGGTACAAAGGGAGAAAACTCTCAAACACATGAATCAGAGACCCTGTCAGCGCGTTTGCCGAGACCTGAAAGCTGGCTTGCAAGTTGCCGTAAATATGAATGTACAGTACTAGAGTGGTGGGTGGCTTGTGCCCAGATAGCCTCACTTTGGGAGAATGTGGCTGGTAAGGGCTGCAGGCCACTACCATGTTGGGCTTTTTACGGAAACTGTTAGCCACGGGTTTGCCCTGATAGCGATCAGAAAATACCCTTTTTGGGATAAATTTAAGCCCGTATCCTAGCAGCTCGTGTAAAAACCCTTTCCTAGGATTAATGACTAATGGTGCCCATTGCCGTGTGCCATTCAGTATAAAATAACTAATGTTCAGCCCCTTGTCAATCCACTGCTGGATGAAGGCCACCACACGCGCTGTTGGTCATGGGGGTTTTTTTGGCCATATTTTATTATGGTCAGTGCCCTTTCAGTACGGCACTTCAGAGCTCGTATTTAACCAAACCTTTCACGGGGGGAATCTGGAAAGCCCACTGCACTGCATAAGCATTTCCACTCGGACCTTTGCTACCTTGCGTGCCTTCCTGGTATGTGTGGCCATCAGCTGCCCCCCACCCCCTCCATGCGTCTTGCCCCTGCATCTATTGATGGCAGGGAGTGTTGAAGTTTTTCACAAGTTCAAGACCAAGTGCCAACACTCGACAGTGTTGCTTAATCAAAGTGTGTTCGAGTGTCCGTTTTTCTTTTAATGCCTACGGTAGCAGTTGGGGCATTGGAGTATTTCATCCTGTTCATGAGCGTTGCAGCATTGAGACATTTATTTTGGGATGAAGTTAGTATATGTCGTGATCATTTTTTTAAAACAAAAAGCGTTATTTGAACCTTTAAAAAGGAATAAAACATTGATTGTATTTCCTTGTGCTTTGTTTTTGATGGTCGTGCGTGCTGGTGCTAACAACCTTCTTACAAGCCACGCACACATTTTCTGCAAAGAGGATCTGCAATCAACTTAGAAAATATTTCTTTTAGCTAAAAAAATAACCATGTTGTTTGGCTAAAATATTGAATTTGGACAGCATGGCTAAATCTAGAATACCATACAAGGCAATGTAAAGTCTGCAAAGTACATGTTTGCAGAGCGAGTATAATAGTATTTGTGAAGTGAAACCTTTGTCCACTGAGCGTCCCTATACGTAGTCTGCTGCTTTGAATGCAAGGCTGATAGTGCAATGGAGCCCACAGGCCGAAGGGGGCCCAAGGCGCTGGACAATAAAGAGGAAAAGGGATACATTTCACGGTGGAGGGAGGCACCCAGGGGGGGTACATTTGACGGGGTGCCCAGGGGGATACATTTGACGGGGGGGGGAAGGGGCAAGCTACTGGTTTGTGGGATCGGATGTTGAAGCTGAAGCCTGCGGGGCGGATGTGGCCAGGAGATGGCAGTACAGTTGAAATGAGATGTCTCGGTCCGGTTTCCGCTCAAACAAAATGCAGCTTTGTATAATGGAAATACGTGAATGGCAGGACGCGCGTGAAAAAAATAACTTGAGCTTTAGTGAGGATTTTCAGAATAAAAAAAAACCCAACGCAATAACAAGACGACCTTCAGCCCACAACACTTTTCACAATTACTGAGCACGTGCCTAAAACGTCAGCAAAAACAACGCTATCACGGTTGTAATAGAAAAAGAGCACTTCTTGACTTAACTACGGTTATAGGAGTTTGGGGAAAACAGACCGTGGAAGGGAATTCCAAGCCGAGCAGTGTGAGGAGGGAAGAAAGGGAAAGTTGTGTTACGTGGTGACTAAACAGTGGATGAGACGAGACCGTGTGATACATTTAGCCCTCAATATAGGTCGAGGAATCGATGAGTTAAGTCCACGGGAACACGTCACATAGGTCGTAGCGATAGAAGGTCGATAAGGAGGCAACAGGCTGCGAAGCCCCGTTGCTACCCCATATATTACAGCGTTCAAATACCATCTTTTTTTGGTCTAGAAATATATTTGACAGCATCAACCACGACCTCTGATTTAAATAAATTCAGTGCGTTCCTCGTTTCACACCGAGAGAAAATCCACACACAAATAGACCACCCCACTACCGCCACCTCCATCTCAACACACACAGACCAAACCCACTACTGCCACCATCACCTCCATCTCTTAAACACACACACAGACCAACCCCACTACTGCCATCACCTCCATCTCCTCAACACACAGACCAACCCCACTACTGCCACCATCACCTCCATCTCTTCAACACACACACAGACCAACCCCACTACTGCCACCATCAACACACACACAGACCGCACCACCTCCTCCGTCTCCCCAAAGTTTGTTTTCACGGACAAATCGCATTGGCTGACAGCGCCGGCTAATCGGAGTGGAACTTTTCAGTCGAGCCAGGCTTCAACCACGCCCACGTGGCCGTGCCGAACAGGGGTGGGGGGGGATCATCAGCAGGCTGGCACTCACCACACAGACAGCAGCAGCAGCAAGTCCCGGAGTAGCAAATCAGTTTTTAAGAGCCTCCGCCTCCCCAAGCACCAATTTGCCGTAGCTAACGACTGTAGGCTGTTCGTGGTAACGCGGCCGGTTGGGCGGTGCTGTGACGAACGCCTTTAGCAGGCAGCGTGAAAGACCTTCCATAAGCCACGGGGCTGGTTTGAGAAGCTTAGCGTCGCTCGAAACGTCTGAGCGGTCTTCCCACCCTCCCTCCCTCCCCGTGTTTTGGAGGAGAGGTGCAAGCGGTTGTATTTTTTAATATCTCACGAAAGGAGTTGGAATCTTTGGAGAGGCTCGTTTATGCAAACAGCCCCCCCCCCAGGAGGAGGGGGCTGCCCCCCACCCCCCCAGTTTGTTTTAAGTCGTATTGATTGACGCGAGTTATAGTTTTAGTGTGTGAATCGGCAGCCGCCCCAAGCGGGTTGGCTCCATTGCCCTGAGTCCGCGATGGAGGAGCGGATGAAGATTCTGGACAAGTTGGTCCGGGACTGCCACTCGCGTGTGGGCGCCGGGACACTGCTGGTAAGGAATGAGGTGTGTGAGTGTGGTGTAGTGTGTGGGTGTAGTGTGTGGGTGTGGTGTAGTGTGTGGGTGTGGTGCAGTGTGGGTGTGGTGTAGTGTGGTGGTGTGTGTGGTGGTGGTGTGGGTGTGGTGCATGTGTGGTGTGTGGTGTGGTGGTGTTGGTGGTGGTGTGGTGTGTGGGTGTGTGTGGTGCAGTGTGTGGGTGTGGTGGGTGTGTGGTGTGGGTGGATGTGTGTGTGGGTGGTGTGTGGTGTGGTTGTTGGATGTGTATGTGTGTGTGGGGGGAGCGATAGTGTAGCGATGAGCGCGCTGCGCTATAACCTGGCCACCCGGGTTCGATTCCCGCTCACGGCCAACACCGGTGACGATTATCTGAACCGGTCCCTGGCCTCCCTAGGTCGACTCAACCTCAATGAGTACCTGGTGCGGTGGATAAAAAACATCGCCACTGGGAAGACTAAGGCGGTCGGGCGTGGTGCTGGCCACCCACCCCCTCGTGTACCGTTCCGGCCTTCATAGGTGCACGCTAACAGCACTTGTCGATACAGTCTGTTAAGGCTATACGGGGGATCTTTGTCTTTGTGGGGGGGAGCGGTGGTGCAGTGGTCAGCGCACTACGCTCAAACCTCGTTGAACAGAGTTCGATTCCCGCTCGGAGTCAACAGCTCCATTGCGGGTGTTTAATTGCATGTGAGCGTAAATCCGAGTCGGTCCCGGGTCTCGCCTAGGTCGACTCGGCATTGAAACGTCCACCCGCTACGGTGTTGTTAACGTCGGCTCTACCCACCCCCTCGTTTGCGCCGACTCTTGGTAGGTGCTGCTCGCTCACAGCACTCGTCCCAATAATCTGTTTGAAGGCTATACGGGGGACCTTTGTTTGGGAGAGGAGCGGTGGGCGCATCGGTTAGCGCAGCGCGCTACGAACCTGGTGAACAGAGTTCGAGTCCCCGCCACGGTTCTGGGCATCCCCTAGGTCCACTCAGCCGTAAATGAGTTTGGCGTGTTTAAAACATCAAACAAAGGCGTCCGGGCGTGGTGCTGGTTCGCATGTCCATATCCTCGTGCAAGTGCCTGCCTTAATAGGTGCTCGCTAACAACAGCCTGTGTAAGACTGTAGGGAGAGTCTTTGAGTTTTTGTTGCTGGTGTTGTGTCTAATGGCATGGAGAACCCACCTGGGTTCGATTCCCACCAGGGTTCGATGAACAATCAAGTGCGTGCGAATGTTTTTGAAGGCGTGTTTGGGTATTCGTTGGGTGAACGAAACGTTGCTTCTTTGTGCGTTTTCTCTGAGACATAAAGAAAGGGGAAGTCGCTCCAAAGATTGGGGCATGGGCACACTGTACGCCCGTTGCTTGGAAAACTCTCGAGTGTCGAGGTTGTTTGCAAGACAGCCCGTGCTGTCAGCTTAGCGGGAGGGCATTGCCAAAGTTCGAACCAATGTCACTCGGCAGAAGTTATCAAAGTGGGCTCGCTCCACTCCTGACGCTTGGAGGGGTGATTGGGAGACCAAAGGAACTCACGGGACGGCACCTCGTTGTGAAATACCCAGTGCAGAAGATCTTCCTGGGTTCTGATCTTCCACCGATAGCCGTGGTCCACCCTAAAACCGCATCCGCTGCACAAACCGTGGCGGCGTCAGCAGTAGACGCGGATGCCACCTGGTGATGCACAGATGGGAAATTTTTCAACTCTACCCGGTAGCAGTGTGCCGACTGTGGTCATCCAGAGCAGACACCGTGACAACGTAAAGCGACGCAATGCCCCGATCCACAAATGCGGAGGAGCCCTCACAGCGATGATGACGATGACGATGATGACACCCCACTCCGCTGCTCCTTACGCCGTTATCAGGGCTTGGCCACCTGAATGCGACATAGTAGAAGTTGCTCTCCGACGATTCCACTCCTCCTGGCGGAAGGGCTGCCACTTTGGATCTCCAGGGTGGCACCAGAGAGCCGAATCTTCCACGACAAGTTGAGGTGTGGTGGTGGTGGGGGGTGGTGGTCTCTGGCCCTCCATTACAAAGAGATAGCGAATCTCAGCCGAGTGAGAGGACTGATAAGACGGAGAGAGAGGGGGGGGGCGACCATCACGATAAAGATCGCCAATTTGCATTCCGATGCCGCTTGCGGGAACCTCTCACGCAGTTTGAGGTTGGAATAGGGTGGCGTGTGACCAGCAACCACAGCGCGGCCGTCTTTGTCTCCCTCGGTGCGTCCTCTTCTTTCGTATGGATTAATAGCAGCAGATTAAAGATGCAATGTTAGATGTTGTTATTCGACTCAATTGTCTGTTCAGAAGCGGAGTGGATCTCGTCCCGTTCCTCCTTTAAATGGGTGAAGGCATCAGCAGCAGCGGCGGCGGCGGAGTGTTTACGATGCGCGGGTCGACGACGGTTTGGGATCCGTGGCCGCACCACTTGCAAGCCGCCGAATCTTCGATGGCGCCATCTGTGGCATCGTCGGGTGGCCGTGTCGGCCACGTGGCCCCGGCTCCCTGATTCGGTTGACGGTCGACCGCTGGCGGCGTGGAAGGTTGCAACCGGGGAGGTTCGCTGGTAGGGTCTTCGTACGCGATGTTGGACGTTGACGTCGGCCGCGGTCCACTCTCGCTTCCGTCTCTCGCCCTCCTTGGTATTTGTCGCGTGGAGTGAGGCTGCATCTGCCGCTGTGACCCCCAGTGCCGATGTTTGCACACCGACCTTGGCATCTCATTTGAGCATGAAGTTGGTGGACAGCTACCTGCAATGGCCACTGCGGTGCGTGGGGTCGGCCTTCATCCGGCAGTGGATTGACCAAAGGGCATGTTCATAACTCGAAGAAGGACCAGGATAGGTTCTTATACCGCAAGTCACTGATGTCATCCGTGGGCTCTGCAATACAAATGATTTTGCAAACGAGGCTTTGTAATACTGTATTGCAATCCCTACAAACACCGTTGTAATTAGCTTGTGGTCATTTTACGTATGTGCTGGGCCCCACCAGAGGAATGTGGGATTTCCACCACAGGTTCAGGGACTCCGCCCATCGGGCGTGTGAGCACGGAGACGCTGTTGACACACGTGAAAGTAACCAAAACAACGACGTTTGATTCATCCAGCGGTGTAGTTCGGAGTAAGTGGAGTTGAAGTGACCAGTTCACCTGGAATGCGCCCTATCTCATCAGATCTCAGAATCTAAGCATGGCGGAGCGTGGACAGTGCCTCGATGGGTGACCGCGGTCCGTAACAAGTGCTATAGGCTGTGGGGATGCATAGAGGGCAGAGCAGAACAAAAATCCATTGTTATACTGTACTTCTATAGCCCCACGCCACACCAACCTGCGCAAACGAGGGTGGTGAAGTATGGTCGACGGACCCCCATGATCTGCACGGTATGCAGAGGCCACTCATCCATCAGTGGATTGACATGTACAGTACAGGCAGTAGTTAAACACCTTGGTTCACATGATCAGGGAAAAAATACGTCCTCTGTTTATCCGAGGAATATTTACTTGTGGAGTCTCAAGACTCCTATTCAAGAGGAGTCATGCTCTTTGGAATGTTTGGCCAGATCCGTTAATGAGTTTTAACGCGTGGAAAGAACGGAACACGTGAAGCAGTGAACATACGCAGGCTAAGAGACCACATTCGCCACGGAGATGGAGCGATGAAATCGGCTTGTGGGCACATGCTCAGTGGCATCGCAGGCCGTGAGACAGGGTAATGGCTTCGGGGAGGCCTTCATCCAGCAGTGGAGTGTTATTGGCTTGTGATGATGATGACGACAACGACGATGATAATGGATGGGTGTGACTGGTCATCTGCACATAATGTTTAAAACCGAGATGGCACATTGAGTGCAAATGGTGGGAAGTGAGTCGTGGACTTAAGAGTTGAACTTCGTTGCAACGTATTTGAAGCATCCTCGCTCTGTTTTCATCTTTCCTCCAGCAAAACATTCCTGTGCACGAGTTGCCTAATTGTTTAAACATTCTACCAGCTAAGGCCCCGCCACTGAGCGGCGTAGCTCTTTTTCAGAAGCGACCTGGCCACAAATGATAGCTCAACGAAGGTGGCTTATCACGTGGACATTTATTAGCAGCCAAATATTCTCAATTGACATGAGATGTTCACTCTCGTTGGTGATTCATTGCCCTCTTTTTTAAAATCTTTTGTGTGGGTGCTAAATGGCCACAGTTCCTGTCATCTAGAAACTTTAAGGATTAAGTAATGTAATATATTTCTGTTTATGTTACCCAGGAAGAGCCTCACTGAGTCTCAAGACTCTCTTTTTCTAAGAGGGTCCTGCTGCTTTGGGACGTTTAGCCAATTCCATGATTGAGAGTTTTTCTTCGCGTTTGGAGGAAACAGGAGAGCCTGAGGAAAATTCACCACTTCTAGATTTGAAGCTTTCGTGACTGCAAGGATCCATACTCTTTGGTTCTATTCGGTAAAGTCACGTAGGTAAAAAATAAAACAACAAAAATCACGACGTTTCGGCCACAACACAAGTGGCCTTCATCAGGTGAAGGGACCGTACTGTCCAGAGGACAGCGTTGGAGTGAAGACAGCCAAGCCCAGGTCGCGTCTTTTAAGCTGTGTGAGAGGAAACACACTCGGGTGGGGAGGTGACGCTCAATCCTCCGCACAGATAGATTCAGTTAACAGACCGACCCAATACATTCGTTATGTGTATGTCCACTGGACATAAGTGATGATATCGGTTCATGCGCAGGAGTGATATGGATTGTGGCACCATCCAGCAGTGGATAGACAATGGCCGATTATAATGTGAATTTAAGCCCATTGCCCACTGCCTTATCTGGCCACCTTGCAGCCCGTTGCCTCACTCCTATTGCACCTGGTATGCACTGGCGGTCACCCCAGGCTCAAACCAGCTCAGCTTCCGACTTCAGACGAGGTCGGGAGCATTCCAGTTCATTTGGTAACTGTTTAAAAGTTACTTTACATAAAATAATGAAATAAAAAGCCCACAACAGTTGTCTTTTGTAGCTAGAG